AAAACAATTGCTTAATGTCAAGGAAGCTTACATATAAGCACCAATGATGAGTTTAATTTTTTTAAGGTCTGAAACTTTGTTAAGTAATTGGCGAATCATTTTCAAGAATGATCATATCCAGGGGCATGTCGCCTGAAGACCTTCAGCATGAATAGGTTGCTTCCTTCATAGTTCGTTTATCCTCATAGGGAAAATATGAAAACTCTGTTGTGCCAAATATAGTCAATATGGGGTAGTCACGTCAAAATTCGACGAATCTCTCTAAGAGTTTGAAGACACTAGAGCATTTTGGATGCCAGGTCTTTTCTAAAACCCTCTTGAGATGATTTATTATCACCAACTATATAACTTGGGGCATTTATGAAGTGAAGTTATTCGCCGGAGTTGTCGTGCATCACACAGCTTATCAGCAGTAAACTTGGGGCATCCAAAATTAATTCCAGGGGCAATCCAGATTTGTCAAGATATGTGACCTGCTTTGCACACATTATCAGATGGTGGTGTTCCCCGGTATTTCCAACTAAGAAAGATTTTTCTCTAGCTGCAGCAGAGCTCATGATGTTCTCCTTTCAATAGATTATTGATGTTAGAAGATTGGACTTTGGGTTTTCTCCCGAAAAGTATCTTGCTGCCCAGAGAGATTAGATCCTTATAGCAGAAATATGCTCCGTCGATGGCTTTTATTCTATCTCCAATAATGTTCTCATCTTGTTGAGGTTAGCCGGGTATCTGGTTGTACTGTGATGTCTTATCATCTCCAATTTATCTCTTGCATATGTTTTTTCAAACATATACATGATATTCATTTATTCATTCACACTTGCATCATGCATGCACATTCATATTTGTTGATGTTATTGGGTTCGTATACCTTGGTTATGTCTATTCAAATAACATATTTTCTCTTTCCAAATAGAGTGTCAACTTAAGCAGAAAGTGCGCCTCCTTTCTAATTCCCCACTGAGTTAACTCTCGTGGAAGATTCTTGCTTTAGCTTTCCTTTTCCATCTTTGGATAGGATAAATCCCCAATTGAGATGTTTCCTCATTGGGTGGAGTCTTGTTTGACTATTTCCTCTCTAGTTTATTCTTGGATTGAGCTTTGTCTCTTGCGGACGCTACCCCGTGGATCTCTCTAGGCTGTGAAACCTAGATGGAGAGTGCATTTATTTTGCATATTTAAATACTTAGTCTCCTCATGAAGAATCTATTCATGGTTTCCCATTGAAGATGAACTTTGTTTCCCAATAGTGTTGTTGTAACACTCTTTTGGAATCTCAACATGATAGCAAGTGGTGGCCTCTTCATGAGCAGCTTGTGTATTATTGATATCTTTGGAAGATAACAAGTGGAGGTCTCTTCATGAGCAGCTTGTGTATTATTGATATCTTTGGAAGATAGCAAGTGGCGGTCTCTTCATGAGTAGCTTATGTATTATTGATATCTTTAGAAGATAGCAAGTGGTGTTTTCTTCATGAGCAGCTTGTGTATTATTGACATCTTTGGAAGACACCAAGTGGTGGCCTCTTCATGAACAGCTTGTGTATTATTGACATCTTTAGAAGATAGAAAGTGGCGGTCTCTTCATGAGCAGCTTGTGTATTATTGATATCTTTGGAAGATAGTAAGTGGCGGACTCTTCATGAGCAGCTTGTGTATTATTGATATCTTTAGAAGATAGCAAGTGGAGGACTCTTCATGAGCAGCTTGTGTATTATTGATATCTTTGGAAGATAGTAAGTGGCGGCCTCTTCATGAGCAGCTTGTATTATTGATATCTTTGGAAGATAGAAAGTGGCGGTCTCTTCATGAGTAGCTTGTGTATTATTGATATCTTTGGAAGATAGTAAGTGGCGGACTCTTCATGAGAAGCTTGTGTATTATTGATATCTTTAGAAGATAGCAAGTGGAGGTCTCTTCATGAGCAGCTTTTGTATTATTGATATCTTTGGAAGATAGTAAGTGGTGGCCTCTTCATGAGCAGCTTGTATTATTGATATCTTTGGAAGATAGCAAGTGGCGGTCTCTTCATGAGCAGCTTGTGTATTATTGATATATTTGGAAGACAACAAGTGGTGGCCTCTTCATGAGCATCTTGTATTATTGATATCTTTGGAAGATAGCAAGTGGAAGTCTCTTCACGAGCAGCTTGTGTATTATTGATATCTTTAGAAGACAACAAGTGGTGGCCTCTTTATTTAAGTAGCTTGCGTATCCCCAACAATATGTTATTTCAACAGCAAATGGTATCTCTCCGGAAAAGTCCCACAGAGAAGTTTATTATGAAATCTCTATAAGGGGTAGTCCCTTTAGCGGAGACAACTTGTACATTACCCTTATAAGGTGGAATACTTGATTAAGAAGAAATTGGCGAGGTTTATTATTATCATTTTTCTCTGCCTTTAGTAAAATTTGATAGTTCATCTTCAGTAAAACTCGGTGTATCTTTTATTTTTCTACCTTTGACCCTGAGTTGGAAATTTACCATCATCTTGAGTCAGTAGCCATTTCTCTTTTCACAGCCTATGCAAGGCGTCTTCACTGATAAAGTCTGTAACTTCTCTTCTCTCGAAGTTATTCCCCAATAAGAGTCTCTCATTTGAAGTCTATGACTTTGTTTCTCCAATGGAGTTATAAATCTCTTCCCCTATGGATTATTTTATGATGTGCTTGGTTTCTCCAGCAGTAGTTTGCCGCATGCGGCATCATTCCCCATAAAATTCAAATTATTACATTCATGTCTTATCATAAACACCATTGTGGTGTCTTAAGGCCAAAAATTGTGTATTCTATATTTAAGTCCCTTCAATCTCGCCGAGATGAAGATTTCAATCTTCATATCTCCGGATAGAAGAAACTTAAATAGGGGCAGTTGTCATACCCCAATTTTTGACCTAAGATCCCATCTTCATTTACATTTTTCATATAAGGTCAAGGTCACAAAACATGGTCGGTTTTAACTCTCTCATCTTCGAGCATTGCATATGCATAGATTATCAAGTATCGTGAACATTTTATCTTATGCGTCACTAACTTCTAATCAAATATAAAGTTTTATGTTTTTGTTTCTTTGGTGTCATGTGCAGAGGCATGTCTGAATCAAGGTCATCAGGCGTTGCGCCTCAATAAGGGTTTTGAGTCCCTCGAGTCAAATATAATTAATTATTGACTCTCGAAGACTGATTCATCAAGGCACAACCTCTAATCTCAGACCATAGAATCTCAAGCATCATTAAATCTCATTTTGATCAAAGATGTCTTATGGAACTTCAGAGGATCATGTGTTTATTTCCACGCCTTGTTCGACAAGTTGTCTCAAGCTTCTCCAAAACTTTCTCAAAGCACATTCAAGATTTCATCATCATTGGTTCGCATATCCATCAATGTGCCTAGGAATGTGAGGGAGGATCAAGTTCGTAGATTGATTCAAAGCACATTAACCAAAAGTTCAACGTTTACAAGTTCAAATTCAAGAGGTCAAGAACAAATTTGTGTTTAGAATGATATGGAATCTATCGAAACTTTATAGGACATTTTATGGATTAGAAGTTTCTTGACGACTTTGAATTACGATTCATGACGGTATAATTTCTTCAAATCTTATCCTTGTGACTATTCAAGTCAGGAACTGTGGTTATTTTTCAAGATATCATGTCAGGTCAATGGATTCAAGTTCATTTATAATTCAAAATGTGGAAGGAAATTATTGCTTTCATGAGTTTAGAAGTTCCAAGTTAATGTTCAAATTAAAACATCAAGCACATTCTACATGCTGTTTGGAATTTAAGATGTTCATCATTTTTTCAAGTCTTTTATCCAAAGATCACTCTCAAGATTCGAAATCAAGAGATCATGTTCGTAATATTCAAAGTGAAATCAAATTCTATAATCCACTTCATGATTCAAATTTCAAAACTCCAAATTCAAGTCTATTAATTTCAAATTGACAAAAAGTTCAACATCATTCAAAGGTTCTCATTCAATTTTTAAGACAGATCAAAAAATTCAATTTCAAAGTACCAAGTAACCATTTTTTCATTCATTTGCAAATTATACAAGTTAATGCCCAAGTTACATTCAATAAAATTTCAAGTTACAATCATAAAAGAAATTATTCAAGTTTCTATGCCTAAAGGCTTCATCTTCAAGGTCTCTCAAATTCTCCCTGCTTTCATTATCAAAGCTCCATCTTCCAATCTTCATACTTTCTTCATCAACTAGTGAAAAAGAAAACAAGTGTGTAATTATCGAAATTTTTCAACAATGTAAAAGAGTTTAAAGGCCCATAAAACATGTCAAGAGCCCATAAAAATATGCCCAATTTCCAGCCATGCTACAACACACAAATTTGTCCAAAATGTTGTTGTCCACTCTACATATCAGCCCTGCAAAAGACATATCAGAATCAACTATACACCAGTCCACATCTCCCCAAACCTGCACAAAACAGGCTTGCTATGCCACTGCTGTCCTGCATAAAAACACCAAACAAAACAGGCTAAAAACTACACCAAATTAGAAAATTTGAAAACTACATCAACAAAGGGATAAAAACATGATACTATATTTGTTCAAAAACCTATGTGGTTTCCCCCTAAAACCTCATTTGTTCTGATATAAATCAAAAACTAACAGCAAAAAGAAAAAAGGAATGAGGTGATAATCCAGCACAAAAACTCTACATACTCCCTCTGTCTACAACCTCTAACCCTCAATAACTACAACCTTATTCTTTTCATTTTCATCCAAACTCATCACCATTTCCACCCATCACCATTTCATCTTTTCGATCTGATAATCTCAGTCCAAATGATAAATCTTTGAAGAGGTAACTTGCTTCATGATTTCAGCACAAACAATAATAATTGTTCCCCTATTGTTCTTGTTCTAGAATCTGGTAGTGAAAGTTTAAGAGAAATTATTTCAGAAAGAGGTAATCCTACTGCTACTGCTACAGGTACATGTAGTATTGTTTTTTATAGGACTAGTTCTGTTATGACAATGGATTCGGAATTTGAAGGTGATTCGGCTTCGGTTGAAAATATTCCTAATCTGAAAGTCATGACTGTTAAGCTTGGAAAGTATAGGAATGTTGGTGGTTATGATGAAGAGAATCAAATTCGCTATTGTATGGATTCATCTCAAGCTAGAGCACCTTTATTTGCTAGAAGGACTTCGCTTTGGCTCACTGGAAAACATAATAAGATTCAACGGCTTTGAGGCCACAATAATCGAATAAAGACAACAAATTAACATAGTCGTCAAAACACATCAGTAGCAACACTTGTGTTGTGTTCAACACAGAGCAATAATTTCAACAATATTATTCCTCCATAATTTTAGAACAAGGAAGCACTATTATTACCTTTGGTTTTCTACCTTACCTTCATGAGAATCGAAATCTCAGACTAGCTTCGAGCTTGTAAGTCTCCTTCATTCCTCCCAAGTTTGTTGCTATAGTTGTTATTGTTGTTTACTTGTTGCTATGAGCATGCGATTTCTGCGATAATTCGATTCGTTGTTGTTATTTTCTACCGAATTCATGAGAGTGGTTGTTGTTGAATCATGGGGAAACATCATTTTTGTTGTTGTTTAAAACTGCCGAGAAGAAGTAGTAGCCGGAGGGAGTATTGATTTTAAAACATAAGATTCGGGTGTGTTGATTAAGCGAAAAATGAAGGGAGTATTATAGCAAATTTTAGGGGTGGACACGCGGTCGGTTTGGGTTGGATTCGGGCTCAATTTATAAAACCGACATAAACCATGGATGCAATTGTTAAATCCAATTTCGACTGATTTGTACTTTGGTTTAGTCGGTTTCGGTTTGAACGGTTTATCGGTTTAAATAGATCGATTTATTCGGTTAATTGATCATAAATTTTATTTTAAAAACTTGACAGTATATAAAGGAAGGACTGCAATAATTGGCCTTCAATAATGTTCAACACCAGTTATAAACAGCTTGCAATTCATCTATATATAAACAGATTACTACACAAACTTAAATATTATAGACATCCAATATTTTACAAATAAATTCATGAAAATATCATGAATCATAATATCTTGAATCATGAAGAATGTTATGTTGTTGCTGGGGCTGATCAAGTCCACTCCTGCAACATTGATGTTCAAAATCAAAAAGTAATATTTCCATGAATGTCCATCTTCCATGGCAATAATGCCCATCTTCTATAACCAAACACTCCTATAACATTTACATCATTTATTAACACATTTAAATTTCAAACATAAAATGGATCTAAGATTAAGTTTAACTTACATTCAACTATGAAACTTTGGTTATTCAACTATGACAATTTGGTTATTTGACTATGACAGTTTGGTTATTTGACGGGTTCAACTGTAGTTTCTAATAGTTTGAATAGTTTAAAGAAACACAACTATGATTTAAAAGTCTCTTAGATTTATTGTGTGATTCTTCTTTTAAAATATTTCTTGAAACATCAAATCCTTAGTTTGAAAATAGATTTTGAATGTAAAACACAGGTAAAAAATGTCAAAATCTTCCAGCTCTATATTCTCAGAATAAGCAATAATTAACTCTTCTATAAGCACCATGGCACCACAATTGCTAGAGGATAAACTAAGTTCTTAACATACAACAAGAGCTAATTTATTTGTTGCTATTACCACCTGTCCATTCATTCCTCCAGTCTTTGTCGACATTTACATAGGATTTGATACAAATGAAGGGCATAAGACTTCATATATTTTGCTATCATAGATCATTTACATATCTCAATGTCAAATGATCTACTAATTTAAACAGAATTTCAAATAGAATTTTCAAACAGAATTCATCTACACATAATGTATCTACACAGAATTTATATACACAGAATTTTCAACATGTACAATGAGCATAAAATACAGAAGACTCGTACAATAAAAACTCAACACAACTCATTTTACCGACATAACAGACATAACAGAACGGTCAACCAATAAAAACCTACCCAAAATCCACCAGCAATTGCTTCTCCTCCTTCTTGCTTGCTGCTGGATGACTTTACCATCATGTAACATGCCATATATCAGATGAAGATATAAAATCTTATGTTCAGCTGTATCAGCAGTCAATGAACGAAATTCAAAATACATTGAATATTATGAATGTAAATTGCATCCAACATCAAGTACATTGAATATAAGTGACATTAAATTGCCACCAAAAAGATTCCATAGTTGATGTCACAAAATTAATTTAATACCAACAACGTCTCATCTCTTTTTGTTACTAATACTACTTTGTAAAAGTGGTGGACATAATGTAACTACTAACTATTGCCTCAACCTCTACAGAATAATAAAACCAACTGAGATTGGTGAAATAGTTGTTTAAAATCTGGTGAAGACGAAGTAAATTTAAAGATACACACTTACCTTCACTCAGTCCTTGCCAACCAGCATTTTTGGCTCCTTGCAAGCTCCACTCTACAGCTCCCCTCTACAGCTCCTTGCAAGCTCCCGTCTACAGCTCCTTGCGAGCTCCCGTTTCCATGTTCCATCTTCCGATAATAAAAACACATCAAACAATAAGTATTAAAACAAACCTATAAAGTATTTAAACATGATGGTTTAATTTTCAAACATAACAAACAATAAGCATTAACATGTTAATTTACTTTTCAAACACATCAAACAATGAGCATAAACAGGTTGGTTTAGTATGTTTCTGTAAACTTACCATAAAGTTTTCAAACACATCAAACAATTAACATTAACAAATTTGGACAAGAAAGCAACATTGATAATGCAGGTTTGGGAATCAAGAGAGTATGTTTTAAGTTTCATTGCTACTAACTTAATATTATTCATACTTATACATATTTGAATGAATGTGCAAAAGAAAAATATCAGCATGCACATGCTAACAAAACAAATTAACTAATGTTAATAATTGAAAGAACAAATTACTAACTCTATGAAAAATCACTCATTCAATGCGGAATTTTTCCGCCTCTTTATTTCTGGTAAACACTTAGCAGAAAATTACAATATTGATTGTGTTCTTAACTTTATATGAGAGCTTAATTTTAATCAATTATAAGTCAATAGATTTATGTTAAGGGTAAAGGTAGTTTAAGCATTTAAAATGATATTACTTTTTTCTTTTCTTAACAAAAATGGCGAAGAGGTCTATAAAGAAGAGTACAGTGTGTCTCAAACTCGTATGAGACCAGTAAAACACAAAAGTAAAAATAAAGCAGAACAAGATTTTCAACATATTTTCATGGTGAATTGTAGAAACCCAAAAAATCAGAAATAGAGGCAAGTTTGTTTGGTGGTGAATCATGATGAATCCAAAAATCAAAAATAGATAATGAGATTAAGGAGAAAGAGAGAGAAGATGAAAGAGAACAAAGAATAACTTACATTCATGGTAAATCGTGGCTTGGTGGTGCTCGTTAAGGACCAAACAACAACGACAAATTGAAGAAGACGATGAAGGTTGAAACCCTAGCGGCAGAATAAAACTAAAGGAATGAATGATATCTAAGTCTTGAAGAAACCCTAATGAGTAATGGCTATGTGAAGAAAAATGATCTTTTGGGTTAAGTAAAATGCAATTTAATGGGCCCATTACTTTTCAAACACATAACTATAATTCTTCTTCTCAGGCCGGTCGGATTTGGATATCCATGGGTCCAAATTCAGCATCCTAAACCGACCAACTATATCCATTTGAACCAATTTTTTTACAAATAGTTAACCCGATGATCCGATTAACCCGACCCGCGTGTTTTTGGGTTTGTTGGGTAGGTCGGTTTGGGTCGGGTTGGGAAAATCTGTCCAGCCCTAGCAAATTTAATAGGAATGAGATTTGTTTGTTTGATTTGAAAGGTTAGAAAACAACAATTGTGTTGTTTGATTACCAAGAACATAGTTTTACATAATAGAAAGAGAGGTCGAGTATTTTTTTTTAATCCTTATCTTCATTTTCATTTGATTTCACTTTGAACTGGGAAGTAGGAAGGGAGTGTTGCGACTCTGTTTGCTAATGTTAGGGTTGTGCAATTTTTAGCCTCTCAAGAGTAAACTGGGTTCGGACCTCCTCTCACCCGTTCCGGCCCACTTAATTTTTTTTAAGCTTTCTTTTAAATATTATTTCATAATATTGGGTTTGTTGTTTTACCATCTTAGCCCATCCGAAAATTATACCTTCACCCCCCAATTTTCTATTTCACACCTTTTGTTTTTATATATATAATTAATTTAGTTTAAATTTAAATCAGTAATCTTAATATTAATTTAGTTTATATTTAAGTTAGTTTAGATTTAATTTAGTAAATTTAGAGTTTGTATTTTAACCTTCGAACTTTAATTTAAATAACTTGCGTTTTAATTACATCATTTTTATTATTTTCTCTTATCTCCTTATTTAGTTTCTTGTTATTTATATTATTATTATTCCGTTCTTTATTCATACTCACTTCTTTGCGATTTCCCTTTTATATGATAGTTAATTTTTTGATATTTTTGATTTAGTTCATCTTAATTTGTATAGATTTATTTATTGTTTGTTTGTCTAAATCTAAGGGAAATGATTAAAATCGTTGATTTCATGTCATCGAATAATATGATTATGCGAAAACCCTTTCATACATTTTTTTGTTTTATTAATCTTGAATTAGATCTCTTTCAAACCCTAATTTTAAATCCTCATTCTTTTAAGCTGAAACTTCAACACTAGGTCGTTGCATTTTCAAAATCACATCCCCACATTCATTTAGCAAACAAACAATTTTAACCAAAAAACAGATATTTCAAAAGGTTCCTGCGGAGTACCGCAGATGCATTGGGTGCTAGTACCTTCCCATTGTATAACCAACCCCCGGACTTTCTATCTCTTTCAAATGCATTGTATTTTTCTTTACTTTTAGTATTGCACTTACTTTGCATATTTATGGGTTTTATTTTGCACTTTTCCCTTTTTCCCTTGGAAATAATAAAGCGCGGTGGAGACTCTTGCTTTTACGAATCGAGTTAATTAATATCTTGATCTCTTATTTTCATCGCTGCACATAGACACTGGAATTGTACCTGGAAATGAATCTATTGAAAACTCCATTCCACGTTCAAGAGGTAAATTACTGATGTCATCTAGAAACACCTCTTGAAATTCTCAAATAATAGGTAATTCCATATTTGCATCTTTTCCATCCACTTGCAACGATGCAAACATTGAAAACATCAAGGCTTCATCTTATAAAAGCTCATTCACTTGACTGGCGGTCAACAACATCAATTCTCCATTATCACCAAACTTAGGGAACCTCAAAGTCTTATTATAACAATTGATATGAACATAGTTGAACTCCAACCAGTTCACCCCAAGGATAACATCGATTTGGTGTAAGGGAAGACACACTTAATCCATCACAAAACTCTTGCCATAAATAGTCAAAAGACACTTCAAACAAACGTGAGTAATAGTAACAGAACCACTAATAGGAGTATATATTACCATACTACCATTCATATCAGACAATTTCAATTCCAACTTAGTAGCAGATTCAACTGAAATAAATGAATGAGTAGCACCAATATCAATAATAGAAACCAATTTAACATCGTTAATAAAGCAAGTACCTCAAATCAAGATCTCCTTCTTAGAATCCTTTGACCCACTTAGAGCAAACACTCTACCATTGGTCTAGGCAATAGCATCCTTCCTTGGTTTCTGACACTGGGTACTGATATGACCTTGATCTCCACAATTGAAACAAGTTGGACCATCGCTCTTGCATTTAGGACCATAATGACCTGACTTACCACACTTGTAACACCTCAACACCTTATTCTCAAATTTGTTGGATGGTGACCTTGTTCTCCGGACCAATTATGAAAACACACGGATCTGCTGATAATCAATCGCCCGCTTAATCTCCGGATGCAAACCATTCTTAAACTTGATACACTTTGAGAACTCAGCAAATCCGGATGCAGTTGTCTTCACAATTCTCCATTTTCTTCCTCACGTGTAGGTATGTCTGCACCTAATTCCAATAGAATTAGGATAATTCTTATTATGCAAAAGTTGATACAAGAGAAGTGTTCAAGAGCAACTCCACAAATCTTAATGTTTGTTGTTAATTCAACCTCTTTTCTTCTTTTGATATTGAGAAAGACCAAGACATAATAGATCTCAATTGAGTTGTTGATATTACTACTCCTTTGTGTTCTTTAGCTCCAAAGCTTTCTCGCACGAACGATCAATTATACCTATTGTAACACAAAACTTCAATTGTGATCTGACGTTCTCTCCTTACTTCCTTTGCGTTCTTTATCTCATAAAGATATCTTGTGTTCTTTATCTCCAGAGGACTTCACTTTACCGCGGTCATCTTTTAAATGTCTTGCACGAAAACCCCCAAATCAACCAACAATCTTTGAGGAAAAACCCGCAGTTTTTACGAATGAAGACCCATACAAATCTCAACCAAATATTCTAAGTTATAAAGGAACCTAATCGGACGTTATCAAACCTCATCTAAATGGCACCACAATAAAAGATCGTTACAATAGAATATTAGTGTGTATACTTAGATTTGAGGTTGAAGATGAAGAGAAAATATAGGCTAATTTTATGGAATCATCTTGTTGTAATTGGGCGTGAATGATTTATTTATAGTTTTTGAATTTTAGGGCAAAAAGGATTTTTTTTTTTAAATTAAAAAGATTTGAAAAATTGACCAAAATAATCAGTATGTGTCGATCTGAAAGAAGGTATGCATCGACCGAAGCAAGTCAGAGACTATAGGATTTAAAACAATATTAAATGTGTCAACCTGAAATTCGTATGTGTCGACACATAAAATAAAAATTTCTGCAATTTCAGAAATGCTTCAGTATGTGTCGACCTGAGTCTTCCATAGGCTACAGGCTTCAAAACTGAGTTGCATGTGTCGACCTGAAAATCGTATATGTTGACACATGCAATGAAAATTTATGCAGAAACTTATTTTTCATGACTTGAATCAATTTCAAAATATTTTTTAATGGTTCATAAGACCCCTAATGCAAAGGAATGCCACAAGACATAGAGATATCATCCTATATATATATATATATATAAATGTTAGCTTTTTCCAATTTTGACATCATGCAAAATATCTAATGAAGAAAGTTGTACTCACAAACAGATGTTATAACATCATCTAACTGACAAAACAATAATATCAAACTGTAAAATATGCATAAATAAATTGCATAATGATAAATAACACAGCTGATTATTAATTCAATTCAGTGCAACGTTACCTACTCTGGGGGCTATCAAGTCAGGAAGAAAATTCACTACAACAATATTAATTCTAAATCTAAACAATCTCAATTTATAATTTCTTACCTAATCACTACTTTATGCAACTTCTACCTAAAAACCTTTTAAATATGAAATCTCCCTCTCACTTTCTACCAATCACCTCAATAATAAATCACATTCACAAATCAGTGACTAGACTCAAAACCAAAAAATTACACTTTCCATAAACAATGAATTGTTCTCTTAAAGAATGTGAACCATTGGTCGGAGATTGTTAGTTGCATTATAAGTATGAGTTGGTTTTGAACACGTTTTAGGAGAACATAATAATAGGAGTTGTAAAATGATTATGACTATCGAAACTGTGATAGATAATAATGTGGTGGTGTAAAAAAGTGAAAGTGTAAATAGGAAAGAAAAAAATAATTGAGAGTATTGATCTAAAACTTCTATCAACACCGCAAAAAATTAATATAGTGTGGGATGTCCACGAATCACTTCTATCAACACCACAAAAAATTAAGATAGAGTGGGATGTCCACGAATCATAATCCTCATCATTTCTCTCTCTTTCTTTCCAATGTTTCTATTATTATAATTTTTTTATAGTTTTGTGTGTAAATAACATACATTTCTATGACAATTGACATGTGACATTTATTTCATATTTAATTTTGAATTTATGAAGTCATTTATTTCTTTTAGTAAATTGGGAGTTTTTAAATCTAGGAATGTAAAAAATTATATAAATCATCTCTTGTTGTGAAGAAGAAGAAGAAGAAAAACACAGGAGATAAAGAAAAATGAGAGGCGAAGTTCCTATACATATTCTTCTGGTCTCTTTTCCAGCACAAGGACACATAACTCCTCTTCTTCGACTAGGAAAATGTCTTGCTGCAAAAGGAGCCTCTGTGATTTTCAGCACAACAGAAAAAGCAGGCAAAACCATGCAAACTTCTAATAGCATCACTGACAAATTAGCTATTCCAATTGGCGATGGCTCTCTCACTTTCCACTTCTTTGACGAAGGTTTACTAGACGGTGATGCCACTAGAACAGCCTTCGAGCACAGTGCACAAGTTGAGCTTGCAGGGACAAACTTCATTTCTGAAATGATCAAGAATCACGCTGATTCAAACAACCCGATTTCTTGCATCATAACCAACCCGTTTTTCGCATGGGTTTCTGATGTTGCTGCTCAACATGATATTCCTTGTGCTTTATCATGGATTCATTCCAGTGCTGTTTTTGCAGCTTACTATAACTATGCCCATAAATTGGTACCTTTCCCTACGGTTGAAGAACCCTATATTGATGTTGAATTGCCTTTTGTAGTTCTTAAATACGATGAAATCCCAGATTTTATACATCCTTTTAATCAATATCTGTTTCTAGGGGACCTCACCATAAAACAGATGAAGGACATGTCTAAGGTGTTTTGTGTATTGGTGGATACCTGTGAAGAGCTGGAATCTGATATCATTGATTATCTTTCGAATATACCAATCCCTGTAAGATCCATTGGTCCTTTGTTTAGGAACCCAATAATTAAACAAGTAAGCAATGTTCGTGGTGATTTTGGCAAAAGCGACGACGATTCTGCTATTATAGAGTGGCTTAACACAAAGCCGAAAGGTTCCGTGGTCTATATATCTTTTGGGACTGTGGTGGACCATCCTCAGGAGCAAGTGAATGAAATTGCATATGGGTTATTGGAGGCTAAAGTTTCGTTTCTGTGGGCCAAAAAAAACCATGTTTTCCCTGATGGATTCTTGGAGGAAACAAGCGGGAGAGGGAGAGTTGTCAAATGGAGTCCACAAGAGCAAGTACTTGCTCATCCTTCCACAGCGTGTTACATGACACATTGTGGTTGGAATTCTACCATGGAAGCAATTGCTTTAGGTGTTCCGGTGTTGGCGTTTCCATCGTTTGGTGACCATCTTACAAATGCCAAGTTTTTGGTTGATGTTTTTGGGGTAGGGGTTAAAATGGGTTCCAATGGTGCTGGCAGTGCTAGTAACTTGGTAACAAGAGATGAGGTGAGCAAGTGCTTATTGGAAGTAACAACGGGAGAAAAGGCAGAAAAGTTGAAGAAAAATGCAATCAAGTGGAAGAAGGTGGCGGAGGATGCGGTGGCCGTAGGTGGTTCCTCTGAACGAAATCTCGATGCATTTATTGAAGACATTAAGAAATATCAAAATCTTAATTAGGTAGTTATGCTTTATGCACTTTTTTATTTATTTATGTGTGTTAAGAAATGTAATAAATGGGAAACTTATGAAAATGAGTACTCTTGTAACTTTACTCTACTAGTTTTAGGCCTTCCTTTTTATGAGTGTGATTGCTATGATAAATCTATTTCTATTAATTATTATATCATTCATATATGTTGTTATTCTATTTAATTTGAATATAGATAACATCTCTAAGAGAAACCTAATCATAAATGTATCTAATTCTTATATGTAATTCAAGAAAAGAAAATTGAAGTTCGCAGATCATTCTTACAGTCGTCTATATCGCCTCTAAAGAAAAATAGCAACAATTGTAAACCTTGCTGTTTATCTAAGAGCACTACTAAACGACGAGACTTGGTGAACTTTTATTCATCTAAGATCAAGGAATTACGCCCTCCGGACACATCTATTACCATTTAATTAGATTTAACAACTTAACCGCTCTTATTATTTAAAGGTGTTGTAAAATTGATAAAGTTCAATGGCAACAAAACAAATATCCTTCAACAACAATAACCAATAAAGAGAAAATGTAACAGAAGAAAATAAGGCGAGAAAATGCGGAAGGTTTGTTTCACCAGTTTGATTAAAAGATCTATGTTTGGGGGAGAGAGTAACTCTCTAAATCACTATACTCAGAAAGTGATTACAAGAGATTACAAATAAGTTTCAAGAAAAATAACTTTCGCCTTTAGAGTTTTCAAGAATAAATCTCTATTTTCTACCTAACTGTTTTCAACCTCTCCAACTTTCAATATATGAATCACTTAAACCCAATGCATCAAGAAGTATTGTCTAATCCTTCTAGATAACTCTAAAAATTTCTCTTTGTCCTAAACCTCTATTTGTCCTTTTTTCTCTATCTGACTCACCGTCGTACGAACCTATTGGATCACCACCACACGATCTCCTCTGCCTCTGCGAACCGTTGTCGCCGTCGCATTCTGACCGACCACCTCTTAGCCTGGAACTTTGATGACATTTGGAGTTTAGAGAAATATTTAACAAAAATTTGGAGGGTTTATAAGGCATTAAGACGGATATCTTGAGTAGCATTTTGACATAGACATTTTAGCCAAAAAAAAATGTCAAAATTACTATGCTAGAACGAAAGTCGGGACTTAGTATTTTTTTCTCAAAGTTTCACGATTAGGATTAGGACATCAGCGCTTGAAGCAAATAGCAAGTTCAAATATGGTAATTGCTTTTGAGTGTGTTAATTCTCTGAATTATGTGATTGACATTATGTTTGATAAAACTAATATAGTAGCATTATGTTAGATAGGATGTATTAACTTGTTAACAGGAACAATTTGCGCAAGAAGTCATATTCTATGTTGAGACATGTTGAGTTGATGTATTTCAACATCTAGAACATGTCGGATAAGATGTCATATGCATGGTCATACGACATCGCGCGTGAGCTGATCTGGACTGTTATATTCTGTTAAGTCACAAAGACAGATTATACTTTGAGGATATTATACTATCTTATGTGGCGCTGAGTTGTAGGTCAAGAAGAATATTGAAGAATATTGACTTTCTAAATATGGAGATAATATAGGAAGATTTGGTTGAAGATCTATTTTGTAGCAGAATTTTCTGCAGTTTTGTAACAGCGAATGTGATGTATTTTGAAGGCCCAAATTCAGTTGGAAATAGGTTATAAATAGAATCTTTGTAACCTAAGATTAAGTACCATCCGAGAATTCTAAAGATGTAATCATTAGGACTAAGTCTGTTAGCCATTCTCTAGGAGAGTTGGTATGTGTGAACCACTTGGATTGTGAGATGGTCACTAGTGTTCTCACTCATAAGCTGTGAAGTAATGAGTTGAGTATTGTTCTTGGAGGAAGCTTTGAAACAACTCCAAGTTTGTGTTCTTATTCAGGAGTCTTAGCTAGAGGAATTGTCATAGAAGTGTGTCTTCCTGTTTGTTTAGAATTGTCTTGGTCTAATCGTTGTCTGTAATTGAAGAGGGATTGAGGAGGGCCTCATATCTAGGTGAGTCCTAGATAGAAATATAGCACGGGTAGTGATTAAGTCAGAAGTTATAAATAGGGGAGTTTAGCTTCAAATTGATACTATCATAGTAGATTTGTCCCTGACTTGGTATGCCTTCAAAGTAGGAGAGTTGCTCTGAATTGGGTTAACAATGTTGGTGTGTTAATTATGTTTTTCAGTTCTATTTTTATTGTTGATACATTGCCTATTTGTTTAAGTCGAATCATATGTCCCAACATGTCATAGGACATCTGAGTTCTGTCATACCAGAATTTCAGAGTGTATCCATACGAAGAAAACAAGTGGAAGCGGGTTTGAAAGCGAAAACTATGCATCGATATACATGTTGATTTCTAGGGAAAAGATCTATTGCAAGGAGTTAGTAATGTATTTGTATAAATAGTAGTTTCATATATTGTATTAGGTGTGTCGAATTCATTACAAGAACTCATACACTTAAATTACCCAAGTGTGAAGTGAGAAACGAGTCATCTAAGTCACCATGTATGATTCTGAACATTATGTTATTTACATTTATGCAAAATATATTTAATTTAATTGTCTATTTCTAGAAACTCTATTTCCTTTATTGCATTACTTTTAACCAATATTTCGAGTACGTGGAAATCCTTGTTTTACTATAAATATAAATTTTATTTTCTTTATAGAAATTAGAGTAGATTTTTGCCTCACATCAATCCTTAAAATAAATTTAGAAGAATTTATGCACATAGGTCCTAGGATTAACTAGTTGATCTTGCAAGTAACCATTTTTAAAGACTTGCACTTGTTTACTAAAATTCAAGGTAAACAAAATGGCATTGCCCTGTTGGACTCTTGTGCTAAATCTTTCAAACTTTTACAACCATTGTGTTTTCTTTGGTTATTTGTTCTTCATGCATAAAATGTCCCCTTTTTTAATCACGCGTTTACAAGATCCACCTTTGGAGACCCTAGGTTACCATTTTGTGAGTGCAACTTCACCATTAGATGTTTTGCATGATGTCAAAACTAAGAAAACTTAGCATTTCTTGTTAGAACAAGATTTGGATCTGTGTTTAATCTCTAAGTTTTGATGATAACAAGCATATATTTTATGAGAAAATATTTTAGTTCTAATGGTTTAATTGAGTGTGCAGATACATTATTAGTATTATGGATATTCTTAATCAAGATATCATCTGAATCACCTTCTCACTCAAAAGAAGAACCATTGGGTTATGTTTCTAATATAATATCAGTAGTTCTATGGAATGATGAATGCTCAACAAGAAAATAATCTCAATAAGTGTCCAAGAAGAAAGAGTTTCTGATAAGTTGTTACTTCAAGATTAGAAATCAAGAGGATATAAGAAACAAGCTTCCAATGCAGAAGATCAGAAGTCAAGACTAGTTCGTTAGAAGAGTTGCTGCTTACAAGTCTAAAGACGAAGTTAGGATTCTGAACACATATAGAGAAAGCTTCTACTCCAAGATCAGGAGTCAAGACCAGTTCATCCGAATAGTTGTTGCTCATGTTTCTGAAGACAAAGTCAAGATTATAAAGAATCGTAGAATTCATGGAATACACACCTTCATTCAACAATAGAAGTATTATATCAGAACAAAGGATAAAAGAAAAGAATATCTTCTGGACTCACTTCTAATCAACATCTCAAAGTCCATCAGAAGACAAGATCAAAAGATGATATCTTCTCAAGCAAATCTACTCAGCAAAAGTAATATTCATAAGAAGAAAAATATCATCAGAAGTACCACTACACTCAATAAAATAACTATTGTGACCTTCTCTAATAGAATCATCAGCAGTTCTAAGGAATGTTGAATGTTCATCAGAAAGGTAATCAAGTATTTTCTTAGGAAAGCGTCGCTCTCAGATGAGAAAACATATACGCTTCCAAAGAAATAAAAGAAATCATGATCATACAACAAGATGTAGCTGACATAAGCTGTTTCTTTCAGATCAATCCAAGGATCGGATTTCAAGAGATCAGAAAGAAGGAATTCAACGTCAAAATCAGATGTACTGATATAAGTTGTTGCTTCAGAAATCAGATATACAGCTTATAAAAATTGATTATCAAGAATCAAGGATCAAATTAAGAAGTAGATCAAAAGAGCTTTCACCCAAAGAAGTTGTTGCTTATATATCTGAAGACAATATCCAACTATCTGAAAAATTCTGACTATATAACAATGAAATATCTTTTGGATCACTTTTATTATCATATCAGAATCAATCCAGCAAAAAGAAAAGAAGACAAAGACAAGATCAAGAGATATCTTCGAAGCTTACTACTTCAATTCAGAAGTAAATCATCAAAAGATAAAGTCATAAGAAACTTACTTTCATCCTTACTTTCATCCTTTCTGGAAAAGACTCCGCATGAATTGTGCAAAGGAAAAAAGCCAAATATCTCTTACTTTCATCCTTTTGGGTGCACATGTTTTATTCTAAACACTAAAGAGAGTCTGAAAAAGTTTGATTCCAAAGCACATAAATGTATTATGTTGGGATACTCAGAACTCTCTAAAGGCTACAGAGTATACAATACAGAAACACAGATTGTGGAAGAATCAATTCATGTTAGGTTTGATGATAAGCTTGACTCAGAAAAGTCAAAGTTGTTTGAAAATTTTGCAGATCTAGAAATAATCCTTGCAGGTTCTGATGAAAATGCAAAAAGTTCTGAAGATGGAAATATAAAAAAGGATCAATATGATGATATATCAGAAACATAAGCACCAGAAATCACACCTATTTAGAAAAGGAAAAATCATAGATCAATGGTTTTTGAAGAATTGATTGTGGGAGATAAGAGTGATCCTATCAGAGCAAGATGTACATTCAAGAAAAGTGAGGAATTACTTCTTAGATTGGTGTCTCTAGTAGAACCAACATCATGTGATGAAGCGCTTCAGGATAATGAATGGATTCTGGCAATGCAAGAAGAATTGGATTAGTTTTC